CTGGTTCCACTGGTCGATCTCAGTAGGAGAATTCTTTGCCTAGAGGCTCGAAATAAGTAATAGGCCGTGCGTCTTCCTCAGCTAATATGATAATAAATATATTCAAGGAGAGCAACGGGGTATTTACAATTAGAACCTAAATTTCTGATGTTTGTCAAAAAGTCCCTAAATAACCCCTCCCCCAATCAAGCACGGAGCCCAAAGGACGTAGAAATCAGGTGGAGACATCTTCAAAAGGAATTAAAAAACCAAAGCCGTTTTTATTTCCTCCAGTCAAGTGTGAATGATGGGGCGGCTGCAGCAAGGGTGATGGAGTTTACCTGACAAAGCCTGCAGTGAGGGGCTGGGCGGGGACGGGTGTGTGTGTGTATGTGTGTGTGTGTATGTGTGGGGAGGACGGTCACAAAAGCAAAGGCATTGAGCTCTTTGCCCTTCGGGTACCATTTCCCTACTCTGTGCTGAGGCGGTCTCCAAAGGCCCAGAGGCCACCTTGAACCTGGAAACCCAATCCAACAGGTCACTGCCTATCCACACCCGTCACCCCAAATTGCTGTGAGTTTCATCTCCTCAAAGTGACTCCCAACAAGTTTTTTTCACAAGTCCCTCAGATTCATCAATTTCTAGGAATTCGCATGTTTTTTAAAGGAAGCCGAAACCCTGAAGTTTCAGGTTACACCTTAAAATCTGCGACGTTTCTGCACGGCTCCAATCACTTGGTAAGGTTCAAATGCTTCTTTCAAAAAGAAAAAAGAAAAAAAAGAACCTTGCTTTGAGAGTTTGGGATTTCCCCCACCTCCCTTTTGTTACAACAATTCAAAAGAAGTTGTCACTGCTACTCAAAATTCAGTTTTCCGCGGGCCGTCGGGAGGTCGGGAGCGTTGGGCTCAGTGCCCTCCGAGCCCCCGCGCATTCGAAGAGTCGTCAGCTGGGCCGGCTATACTTTACATTATTCATGTAAGTTACGGGCAGCACTAAAGACTGGAAAGTTCGACGACTGGATGGCCAGCATCCCGGCAGGCCTGGTGGTCAACCATCGAAAATAAACCAACTAATAGCGTTGGCTGCAAAGGTCCTTATGGACGCCCGCCTCCAGGACAGCGCCGGGAACCGGAGGACGGCCCAGCTCTCGGGTCAGCGCCTGGCCTCTGCAGGCAATTCAGCCCGTGGGATTCAGTGAAAGAGTTACAGAAAAAAAAACGCAAAGAAACCCAAGAGAAAGAGACCAGCTTTAAGTGTATTCTGATTCTTTAAGAGGATAAGATATTTCTACAGTCAGGCTGAGCTCCTCACAAGCTCTGGTTTTAGGATGGATTGGGGGTGAAGACAGATGGTATGGGGAGAGCAGTGGTGGCTCCTAACTTGTTTGGTCTTCACAGCTTTTCGCTTGGCCCAGGTAAGGTGTAGGCAAAACCTAGAGAAAGGTGGTGGTGACCTTCCCGCAGGGACTGCTCCCCTGGATGAGGAGTGTGTGGGGGGGTGGGCATCGAAAAACAAAAGCTGGTCTTGGTATTCCCCCTCCCCCCGATGGAGGGGTTCCCCCATTAAATTTCCATTCATTCATTCATTCATTCATTCCACAACTATTCATTCAGCACCTGGCATGTACCAGACACTGTATTAGACTCTCAAAAATGCAACATAAATGGAAATCTGGCCTCAAACCCTGAGCCTAGGATTGGCTCCCTGGCCTGTTTTGAGATAGGCATGCCTCTTGGAATTGCCAGCCTTGCTGCTCCACAGATTCCAATGCTGGGCGAAGGGACCCAGGAAAACATAACTTCCGCATAACTTTTACCTCTCCTTTCCGTTTTTCTCTTTTCAAGCAGCAAAGGACCATTAATTAGAGGAAGAATTACTGCTACCCTACATTATCCCAACCTGTTCAGTTCCTATCTGCTGCAGACAATGCTAATAACGGCAATTATTGCTTCTATAAACATCCCGAGGCGGCACTCCTCTCCCGCCGTGTGTGTGTTTCAAGAATATATATAAAAAGTTCCCTGCTCATTTGCATAGCTTCATCTTTACCTTTTCCCTTTCAGCCCTTGCAAACAGCATATCTATTCAAAGCCCTTGCAAAAAGCATATCTATTCAAAGGGCATTTAGTCCATTTCTTTCTTGGCCGGTAAACCTATTCATCAATTGTTCTGCCTTGTAGATCGCATTCTAATGCTAATCTAGCGTGTTAAATATCTTTTTGTTCCCCTTTCACCGTTTTGTCATTCAGTTTATCCAGTTTTGGTCACCCATTTTATTTATTTATGCGCCTGCTCCTATTCAGGGGCTCATGTATTTTTTATTATGTTGTTTCACTGTCACGCAGTGTCAACTTAGTCTATTCAATGGGGGCTACTTGAAGGCCGGAGGGACAAAGCGTGTACACATTGCACCGCTATTCATTCCGGCCAGCTGGATCGGCTGAAAAAAAAACCTTGTGAAAAGAATCGCCTCACAATGGACACAGAAGAAGTGCACAATGCTAACAGTTTTCCAAATACCACTGATTGGTTTCTTCACAATGAGGAGAAAGCCGCCGCTTTTTCTTAGCTCCACTTCAACAAACAACACTCTCACAAAACCTCCCAACCCTGCGTTTTGTTCCCGGACAAAACCTCCTCGACTGTCTAAACGCTCCCACTGAAGGACAAAAAAAAAAAAAAGAGAAAGATTTTTTTAAAAAAAGCTCTTTTCACTATTCCCCCCGCCCCATTTTCCCCCCTGCAAGAGAATAAAAAGAACTGGGTGGGGGTTGTCAGTGAATTAATAATATCAGTCTTTTAAAAGGAGAGGGCTGACCTTTGAGATGCACGGGGCTGAGGGAGAAAGAACGCGGGGGAGATTAATAAAGTTTGGACGGCGGCGCTTTCTCTGCCTCCACTGGGCAGTGGGCGCAAGAAAGACGCGGACACTCCGGGCGGGCGCGTTGCAGGG